TATATTTCCAATGTAGGCGTTTATCTAACACATAATCTAATCATATTATTGGTGCAAGTTGGCGCATTTTAAACATGAACGCATAAAATGGTTACACCAATTTTTCTGGGAAAACTTTTTATTTGACAACAAAGAATGAGAAAACGTGTTTGTTGGGATTCAATCGAAAATGTTGACAGGAAAGCTTTTTATGTAAGATTTTTAGATATTTATGAGACCTAATAATGAGACCACACGTGAAAAGATCCGACTAATAGCAAAAATGTTATGGCCGAAAAACCAAGCAAAATGCAGGTTTTGCACTTGTTGGTAATGCGAAGATAATTTTGCGCAACTACTTAAAATTCTTTAAATCCGCAGGATTCATACTTCTGAATAACAACAGCAAAATTGGAGTATAATGGTCAAGTAGTTTTTTGAGAATTTCTAATTGCTTATCCCAAAACACCTGTTTTCCGGACATCACTACTAGTTGATTGAGCTATATACAGGATTAGTTCAAAGAGCATTTTACAGCAAAATACACTAATTTACCTTGCCCATATGAATTACAAACCATTCCAAAAGATAAATGTTATTTTTATGCGAAAAACAAAGGTTACGTTTTTTTTTTCAAAGCAAATTCTAACATTTCGTATTTGTGAGTAATTGAGCAAATGCGGTAGGATATTCAAAATACATACATTACTATACACATTTTAAAACAAAGCGGATGTGTCTATCATCAAATAAGATATATTTAAATTTATTTAGAAAAAAAACGTAAGCCATCCTTTTTTAGCATAAAAATAATATTTATCTTCCGGAATAGTTTTCGATTCATGCCCTTTGAACTAACCCATGTATAATGCTCAAAAAAACTAGTAGTGATGGCCGGAAAACAGATGTCTTGGGATAAATAATTAGAAATTCTCACAAACTACTTGATCAATCTACTCCAATTTTGTTGTGGTCATTTAGAAGGTCAAGTCCTACGAATTTGAAGAATTTCAAATGTCTGCGAGAAACGGTCGTCGCATTAGCAACACGTGCCAACACCTGCAGTTTGCCTCGGTTTTCGGCGATAACTTTTTTGCTATTAGTCGGATCTTTTTACGTGAGGTCTCGTTTTGTAGGTCTCATAAATACTTAAAAATCTTATATGGAAAGTTTTTTCGTCCCTGTCAATTATTTAGATTGAATCCCAAACAACACGTTTTCTCATTCTTTGTTGTCGAATAAAAAGCCTTCCCATTAAAATTGGTCTACCCATTTTATGCGTCCATGTTTTGAATACCCCCTTGAGCAACTTGCAGCAATAAGACCAGAATTATTTCGTAAACCAGAGGCATTTTCGTCTAATATGATTAGACTAATAGCGCTTCGCTGCAACACCAACCCCGAAAAAAATCAGTCAAGCTTTATACACTTTTCAAATTACTATTGAGCAACAAACAGAACATAAATCACTTTTTAAGTGCAATCTGTATAGCTAATATATTGTTTAGACTTAGATTTGTCACAAGTCACAATACTCGTATATACGTATAATCGTAAGAATTGTACTGTAAACGTAAGTGGTGTCGAAGAGGGACAGCGTTTGGAATACCAAAGGATACCAAAAATCGCAATGCTGAGTTCTTATAGCTATAACTTATAGTTAGTATGCCTCTGTCGCCATGGTGTGTCAGAAAGCAACACAATAGTGTTAGATTACACAAGCAGGTGTCAGACGTCTAGGGCCATAGTAGAAATATAGTTTGTTCGAAAATTTCGAAACCAGACATACCCTCTATGGTTACATATATCGCTAACAATGCTTGGAATTTGTATTGCTGTATCTAATCAATTTGTCAATCTACTTGGTTTTCAATTCAGTTCTCATATAATTAAGAAGTTTCATATAGTCAAAAATACTGCTAGTAGCACAAATCTGGAGCGAAAAAAAAATGTTTTGTAATTTGTTTAAAAAAATATTTGGAAAAATTTGTTGCTGGTTATCGCCATGCAACCACTTGAATCATCTTAAGAGGCAACCATCAAACGTTACTATAAAAAACAAATAAATACTATATTTTTTAAGACCTAAAAGACCGTATAACTTTTAAAATATATTTTTCCTAGACAGGCGGAAGTGCTCCCATGTTTGGTACATATATTGATGTGCTCTAACGCCATACCATTTGTAAACGTGTAAAGGTTCTATTAAACATGGCATTTCGTAACAAACAACTGAAAAATTTATTGGATTATGGAATTATGTATGAAACAATACAACAGGTAAATGGCTGCACGGCTGCGCTAGCACATGCGCACTCTTTTAATAAAATTTGTTTTAACATTTTGGAACACATGGCGTGGTATCTCGTTGATACACCGTCTGATTTCAGCTTTCAATGCTTTGGTGGATGCAGGCTTGTTGGTATAAAATTGTGACTTCAGATAACCCCAAAGCCAAAAGTCCAAAGGTGCTACATCGCAAGAGCCTGGCTGCCAATTCTGGTCACCAAACCGGGAGATGACTTGACCAGGAGCAAACTCGTGCAAAACTGCCAATGTTTCACAAGCAGTATGGCATGTGGCACCATCCTGCTGAAACCATATGTCATTAAGAGCAATGACTTCTAATTGTGACACAAAAAACTGAGTGCGCATTGCACGATAACCTTCGCCATTCACTGTTAGTGGATACCCGCCTCGTCCTCAAAGAAAATCGATCCAATAATTCCTCCAGACCATAGTACACACCAAACAGTGACACGTTTTGGATGCATAGCTTTCTCATGAACTACTCTTGGATTCTCTGTGCCCCAAATGCGGCAGTTTTGTCTATTGACGAAGCCATCGAGATGAAAATGGGCTTCATCGCTAAAAATGTTTTTGTCTACAAAATCACCATTCACATACTGTTGGTCAAGGATCCAATTGCTAAACTCTCTTCGCTATGCACGGTCTGTTCGCTGTTGACATAAGCTGTTGAGTCAATTGGAGTTTGTAGGCATGCAGGTGTGAATATTTCATTAGAAAACGCTGGAGAGTGGCTGTTTTAATGTCCAATTCTTGAGCGCGATGACGAATCGACCTCCCTGGACCCTCGGCTACATTTTCGCGAATTGCTCTGACATTTTCTTCTGAACAACTGCTGCGAGCTCATCTCGTATGTTTCACATTATTAGCAGAACCGCTACTTTTAAATTTTTGGATTACTCTTTTCACAGTGGTTGGGGTAGCTGCACTTTTCGAATCGTAGCAACTAAACTTTCACCACGCTGGTAATAATTTTTAACAATTAGGTTACGCTGTTCTATAGTGTTTACATGAAAAGATATAGTAATTATCGTTATTGTATCGTCAGAGAATGTAAGAACGCATTAATAAAAATCCCAGGAAAGTTGTGGATTAGAATGCCCCAGGGAAATAAATATAAGCAACACTGTGTATTGCTTACACAAGGTGTCCGCAAAGTTGGGGTTTTCCTTTACATGACATGTGAATCTTGAGAAAATAAGCGGATTTTCTTAGTAGCATATACATCAATGTCTTAAGAGAACCGAGAGATTGGGTTCCGCAAATTCAATCAAACGTATACTTATATCCGGGACATATTTTACATTTTACTGCCTCGTTTACGTTGGACAAAATCTAAGGGATTATCATATTATCTTGCAGATGTGTAAGAAGAAATACGATATTAGATAAAACTATTATCATGCATCATGAGCTTAATTTTGAATAGCTTCTGAAAAGATTATGTATGTGTATTATTATTTCTTTGTATGTCTATCGTTATATCAGATGTACAGTACTTACATAGATGATGTTTCTTAGCTCATCAGAGCAGAAATCTGAGTTGGCTAATGTTGTCTTATTTAAATGTTTCTAAAAAAATACCTAATCAACGTAAAAAGTTATAGTTTTCTCGTTTTAATTAAAATACGTTAGATTAGTAAAAGTAGAAAGCTTAAAATTGTCGAAAATTGAAAATTACTGAGCTGAGGAACCTCAAAAGCGTATAATGTAAGTACGCAGCATCTGATATAATGATAGACATAAAAAGAAAGAATAAATAATACATTTACATAATTTTCCTTTTCAGAAGTTGTTCAAAACTAACCTCATAACATTTGAACAATTTTGACTTACATTGTATTTCTTCTTACACATCTGCAAGGGAATCTAACGATGATGATGCAGTACGTTACATCCAACTTAAACAGTGTTGCGTATACGAGTATTTATTTCACTGGGCACCCTAAGGCCCGTATCCTCAGTCGTCCCTACAATTGTAGGGCGCCTTTATGGCTTCCTTGATTGTCATAGTTTTCTACTTCTCCGTGTCAGCGCTCTTGAGGTTATGTCACAAACATCTATTTGCATCAAATTCTGCTTGCTTTTGAGTTATATCATGTTTTATCAGCTTGAAATTTCCTACAATTTAAAAAGAAAACGTATCTTCACAATAGGAGAGCGCTGACGCTGACACGGGACAAGTGTAATCTAGAAATTTTTGAAGGAGAGAAAGGAGTATGACAATTAAGGAGGCCATAAACGCGCCCTACAATTGTAGGGACGACTGACGATGCGGGCCTTATTCATCACTGCTTTCCTGTTTTTACATTTTCGGACGATACAATAACGATAATTATTATATTTTTCATATAAACTAGTAGAAGTCATATTTATATGCTTAAAAATTTGTTATGCTGTTCTCAGATGCTGTTTACAAATGTTATGACGTCAGGGCACATTCATATGGGCCAAACATGGCGGACAGCGTTATCGCCTGTCCAAGAAAAATATATTTTTAAATTAAATTTTTACGGTCTTTTACGTCTGAAAAAAATATAGTATTAATTTTTTTGGTCTAATAGAACAAATATTGACTACTTAAGACCTGCCAACTAGCCAATTGTCATTTGTACTTGGAACAGGCCACTTTAGTAATCGAACTGTCGTGTATGTGGCATTTAGCGGCCAGACAAACAAAGATGTTTGTCAAATTTGATATTGTCTGTTTTTAGCTTTGGCTGCAAATAAGTTCCTGAAGCTCGAAAGACATGAAGATTCTTTTGAGCTTTCCCATATTTTAAAAGGCCCAAGGCTAGAGATGGGGAAATAGTGGACCATTTCTCTTTTTTATTTTATACCTGTACAGGTACAAATACCTTCCTTAAGTATTTTATTTATTATTAATTTTAAGTACATTGAATTTATTTTCTCGAACTACTCTTACTTATGATAACTGTAGGTAATGTCAAAAGTCAAAAAATAATTTTTTTTGGCAATCCTTAATTTATATCTTGTTTTGTTACCTTTTACGTGAATAACCATATTAATTGTCTGTTTTTAAATATGTTAATGAGTATTCCTAAACCTAATCAGTATTTTAATTACTTCAATTTCGTATTGCTCTACTATTATATGATAATCTCATAGTTGTATAAGTTTTAAAAATGTAATTTGCTAATAATTTATCCTATATATTTTTATATTCATACAGAACTCGTGCAATATATCTTGAGCCTGTAAATGTTGTATTATTTCGACCTCTTAAATTGCATAACATCATCAAAAATAGAGAAAAACCAGATAAATATAAAAATAGAGTATATTATATTGGTGACAACAAAAACGTTGACAGTATGAACGTTTCCAGAAAAGTATCCACTTCTCCACGACTCTTTTGTGTCAGAACCTCAGGTGGTCACTTAGTACATCCTTCTAACTTACGTCACGCAATTATGAAGTAAACTCATCCAATCTTATGGTGAGACTCATGTCCTTGCTCTTGATATCACGAAAGCGTTCGATCTGCTTTCACACGCTGCCCTCTTATGCGAACTTCTATCCTATTGCTTCTCCGGGAAGCTTTGCGGATGGGTCGCTGACTTTCCCCCTGGCCGCAAGATATCTGTCGTAACTGACATGTTCTCCTCTTCATCCCACAACGTCAACGCGGGTGTTCCGCAATGATCGGTCTTGGCTCCAACTCTGCTCCTCTTATTCTGAAAACATAGTGGAGCGACAAGGATAGCGACGAGCAAACAGCGCGACATCGCGTTGCGAACGTAATGTAAAGCGACATAGTCGAATCCGACTAGGCGGGCTTAATGCGAGTATAATCAAAGTATCCTCTAATTATGTTAAGGGCATCTCAAGTTTGCGATAGTAATTCGTCTAAACTATGGTATTGGCATTTGTTACGAAAACGCCGCTCCAGTAGTATCCACGAAATTTTTAAATGCCGGCGAGAATATGGTGAATCCATACCCTATATGAAAAACTGCGACAGCATCCTCAAAAATTTTAAAAGTACACAAGATTGAAAATTGGAACATTCGATTAAACAGGGTGTCCGCAAAATTGGGGTTTTCCTTTACATGACATGTGAATCTTGAGAAAATAAGCGGATTTTTTTAGTATCATAATATACACCAATGTCTTAAGAGAACCGAGATATTGAACACCGCAAACTCAATCAAACCTGAACCAAACCGAAGCCGGTCCTGGCCTATCCCTCGATCACGTCCACAGCGCCAGCGCACAGTCTACGACGTACGACTACGATGTAAATACGGATTTTACGACAGAGCCGTAATTGGAATGAAATAATTGTAAAAACATCGTTCCAAATTCTTTCGCTTTTTTGTTTCCGATGCGATGAACCGATCAGGCGGATTATATCCGTTGTCGCCAAACACGAGCACATAATATTTTTATTGAGACAGGGCGGTACTCAAACTTCCAAAGGGCTATAACTTTGTTACTTTAATTTTACCAGAAAAATGGTAAAGGAAAAAAACATTTCTTTTGATCAGATCTACTCACTGTTAAAATAAATGACTCAACTTCGAAGTATATACAGGGTGACTTTGAAGTTGAGTCATTAATTTTCAGATAATGATTATAGAAGGAAGATAAACCAAAATATGTGTGTAAAAATAAAAAAAAAAATTTACCTTGTTTTATAAAGTATCCTCCCGACAAGTATTTTAGTGCGGACCTGTATTTGATCGTGAGGTCTTGGAGCACCGGCATGCCGTCCATATGTGAGGTCTTAAGTCACCTGATTCACGAACCCGTTGTACTACATTAACAAAGGCACGAGGGGTTGGTTGCACTCGATTGGGAAACCGATCCGCATAAACATGTGCCATTTTTTATTTCGTTTGAGCCACGCAACAGACACCACTATTCACTACCGACTGACACTGGCTGTATACAACTGAATGAAATAATTGTAAAAACATCGTTCCAAATTCTTTCGCTTTTTTGTTTCCGATGCGATGAACCGATAAGGCGGATTATATCCGTTGTCGCCAAACACGAGCACATAATATTATTATTGAGACAGGGCGGTACTCAAACTTCCAAAGGGCTATAACTTTGTTACTTTAATTTTACCAGAAAAATGGTAAAGGAAAAAAACATTTCTTTTGATCAGATCTACTCACTGTTAAAATAAATGACTCAACTTCGAAGTCACCCTGTATATATATATATAACCTCCTCACCCTATACAACGCCCAGATAAGACCTAGCCTCGAGTACTTGACATATGTTTGGGGTGCTACCGCCCCGGCTATATTATCCATGCATGGTGCTGTTTAGGGAAGGGCTGTCCGCCTGATCGATGACTCTTCTCTAACGGACAGTCTCGAGACCCTTTCGCACCGGCGGGCCGACGGCGATGTAGCTCTCTTCTACCACTATGCCGCTCGATGTGCCTGCCAGACAGAGCCGTCGGACTTCAGCCTCCCAGCGAGACCGTGTCGAACTTCGTACGTCTGGAACTGGTCGATACGGCCGCTCCTTAGTCCCTTGGATATCGAGATTGTAGAACAATCTATATGAGGAGGTTTTTCCCAGTTCTACTAAACTTAGGTACTTCAAAAATTGGATTAACAAAGTTTCTTCAAGCTCCTCATAGCAGCCGGGGTGTCCTGTCTGCGGTGCTGCTTCGGTGTAAAATGGACGATTTTTTATTTTCGATACAAAGGAACTCTTAAGGTAAACGCCTATTGAGGGAAGAGATTTGTATCGCGCAAACAGCTCGGTTAACAATGTTCGACATTGAAGTCAGAAAGATAGCCTTGTTTCCAGCATTGCCGCCTCCCTTTTACTCAATCGGTGTGCACCTTAATAAGAGGGGAACAAATGAAGAATGACATCAAGTAGATTGTCTCTATGCTTTCCACACCTCCGAAATAACTTCTAACACAATTTTCCATGTAGTGTAATTACATCAAAAAACGAAGCTGGAGAAACGTTAGAAAGAGATAAAAGCCGGCTGAAGAGCGAAGGTCATTCCTACATTGCCTAGCAACGGTGACGCAGAAGGTCGTGCAAGCTGGCGCGTTGTCAATTTGTTAGAATTATTTATTTAGTGTTTTATTTCAGAATTATCTTTGATTTCCAACGATGGTGATAAATTCAATATAGCGGGTCGAAAAATGTAGCAAATACCATTACGCAATACAAATTGTCAGTCCCTGCGTGTAGAGGTGGAAACCTTGTATTCGTATGTACGAGATGCGGTGTTGCCAAGCGAACCAATAATGCAATGTTGCAGAATTTGTGGCGAACCTGACCTTTCATTTCGACCGGAATCGATCCTATACAGATTCTTCGCAATTCAGAAATGTGTACGCTCATAATAAAAAAAATATTTGGGCGTAGAACTAACGAATATTTTCAAAATGAATCTTAATTCAAGGAATTGGTATACCATATTGACAAAACGGCAAATTGCCGCGTCAGCTTTACTAAACAGCGTGGCGATGACCTTCGCTATCCAGCCGGCTTCTCTCTTTCTAACATATGTGCCTTCTCTCTTGTACACATTGAACTTAAACCGTCAGACAAATTTATTTCTCAGTGTATATATATACAAATAATATCGAAATTCATCATTTTTTTTTCGTTTTTGGTATTTTCTCACTCGCCACTGGACCTGTTCTCAAAAACTATGAAGTTTTTATGTCCTGGCACAGTAGTGTCAAAATTTCATCAAAACCTGAATCGTACTTCTCAAGTTATAGACGGGCCAAGGATTAATGGACAGAGACCGATGGAAATGAGTGACTTGGTCTTTCGTTATGTGAATATCATAATAACATCCACAAAACAATATCTCATTTTCGAAATTATTCAATCAATCATTCAACATATCTGATAATTTTTTTATTTATTTATTTTATGAGACCCTATATCCCTATAAACTTGTAAAATAAATTCTAGAATGAATAAAAATTGAAATGTTATTAGATATGGGCAGAAGAAATAATTTATCAACCCTCAAGCATATGCTCTTCATTTGGTTTCCCAGTTTTCCAATCTTTATTGGAAGTATGTTCTGGAAATCGTTCATTGTGAAAACGATGACATTATCATGATAATAATATATATATATATATAATATATATATAAATATAATAATAAATTAGCATGATAATGTTATTGACGTAATCTGCCAAAATATCTTTCATCTCAGGATGATCTGATATGTAAGTTTTCATTTTCATTTCTGCCCAAGTCTACAACCTTATAGTCTAAATATTTTGACAATAGCTCCATATCGTCGGACCAGATCTTCTGCGCCGACAGCGCCACTGAAGATGGCTACTGCAGATGTAGCCGAAAGCTATGGACCAAATCCAACCCGACCACGGCTCAACAGCCCGAAAAGCCTAAATTACATTAGAATTAGCCGTGAAAGCCGTCATTCTTCAATTCTATAGATTTTTTACATAATACTCGTGCCCTCTGCTGTACTTAATATCGTATTGCCAGTTTCGGGCCGTCCGAGTGCTACGTGAGCAATTTTTTTTTATTATTAACCTCTCCCTCCCCCTGGTCAGCAAATGTAAGCAACATTTACTGTCCCCTTGAGGTGATTTTTCATCTTCTGGAAAAGAAAACAGTCACAAGGACTCAAGTCTGACAAATAAGGAGGCAGAGGCGCAACAGGAATGTTTTTACCCGCCTGAAACTTGTTTATTGACATTGCTAAGCGACAAGGAGCATTATCGTGATTAAACACCCAGTTGTCCTTGATCTGATGAACGGTATGAGTCAAAACTAACTCTTCCCCGATCTTTCTGACTTTCAACCATCGATCTAAACAAACAAGATCCCTGGTTCTGTTAATTTTTTCATCGGTTCTTGAAGATGAAGGCCTTCCGCTTTGAGGTTCATCTCAATCGATTCTCTCCCTTCTGAAAATGCCTTCTACCACTCTTGACAAAACACTCTCCTTGAACCTGCTGAAGTTTAGCATCAAGAGTTTCTGCTTCACTGCGCCCAAGTCTGAAGCAGAACCTTATACCACGCCGTTGCTCGAAATTGATGTCACTCATTTTTATAATACAATAGAAAAAACTGTTTCACAGAAAAAATCGCCACGGACA